GGCCTGGGCGCAGAAGGCAGTACCGGCGGAGACGCTGGGCTCGTCCCGGGCAGGAAGAGGGGGAATGTCGCCTTTGGGGCAGTCTACAGGGAAAACACTTTAAAAAAAAAAACCCAAACAAACAAACAAAAAAAAAACCACTTATGCAGCGCCTGTAGGCCCCTGAGGTGGTCAATGTTAGAGGGAGGGGGAAAGGGCAGCTCGGAGGCGATCCAGCACAGCACCAGTGCCTCATCATGAACGTTTTGGGTTCCCACCCAGGAGAGACATTACTTGATTTTTAAAACGGATATTAACTATGTGTTGCTGTTGTTTGTACTTCCTCCATCGGTAAGCGGCTCTGGCTTTGGTTTGGAAAGCAGTCACACTGCATCAATGAAATATCATCTGGCTAATTGCCACCTTGATAAAAAGCAAAGAACCTGTTCATTAATTTACAGAAAAAAAAACAAACCCCAAAACAACCAACAAACACTGACAAACACACCCCAATTTTCAGGACTCAGTTTCTTAGGAGAGGAGTAGTTAGTCATACTAGAGTTTCCTCCATCAAATAGAAAATTTTGACGCAATTCCCCTCATTATCAGTAAACATTCACTGTAATATTAATTTTGTCTGTTGCATTCCTCTTTCTAGACTAACTCAAATGTATAATACACCTCAGCATGTAAGATGCACAATTTTTAGGCAGCAAAACATGTGACTGTCCAGATGAAGACTCTGCTATTCTCACAGGCTGTAGCGTTGTGCATAGCAGGACAGACATTAATAACATATTGTACTGTAACTACGCTAATGACATCAGTACATGCACCCTCCTAGGATACATCCATACAACTCGCTGAAACAATGCATTCTGTTTCTCGAAATGCTTCATGACTTACCGAAAACTAAACCGGTGTACAAGAAATCATCTGGTAGGAATCTGAAGTGGCACTTGCTGACAGCCCACTGAATGATTAGGATCTCTAGTTTCTGCTCCTGCTTATTAATTCTTAATCTCAAACAACTGACTCGTGAGGCAGTTGGCTACTGTACAACTGCTGGTCTTGGAAAGTTTTTCCTGGCTCCTTTCTGTTCAGCACCTGTCCATCTGCAGAGCTGCTTAGCTTTGACCGTGCATACTCTCAGCTCAGCTCCTACTTAATCCCAAGTGAGTCTGAAGAATTGGTTGCAGATCTAGGTCCCAAACCAACAAACAAGTATCTGGCCCTTCACACCCAGCTGCAGGATGGAGTGGCAAGGTGAGGGGGTGGGTAATTGCAAAATCACAGACCAGAACTAGGACTTCCCCTACTGGCACAGGAGTCATCTGCAAGACTAGAGAGTAATGCCTACTGCCTTCCAGAAGAAGCAGAGGGTAGCATCATCCAGTTTACACTACAGACTAGCTATTACAGTGTTTCCCTGAAAGGCCTGCATTTCACAGAATTCACAGAATTCACAGAATTCACAGAATTCACAGAATTCACAGAATTCACAGAATTCACAGAATTCACAGAATTCACAGAATTCACAGAATTCACAGAATTCACAGAATTCACAGAATTCACAGAATTCACAGAATTCACAGAATTCACAGAATTCACAGAATTCACAGAATTCACAGAATTCACAGAATTCACAGAATTCACAGAATTCACAGAATTCACAGAATTCACAGAATTCACAGAATTCACAGAATTCACAGAATTCACAGAATTCACAGAATTCACAGAATTCACAGAATTCACAGAATTCACAGAATTCACAGAATTCACAGAATTCACAGAATTCACAGAATTCACAGAATTCACAGAATTCACAGAATTCACAGAATTCACAGAATTCACAGAATTCACAGAATTCACAGAATTCACAGAATTCACAGAATTCACAGAATTCACAGAATTCACAGAATTCACAGAATTCACAGAATTCACAGAATTCACAGAATTCACAGAATTCACAGAATTCACAGAATTCACAGAATTCACAGAATTCACAGAATTCACAGAATTCACAGAATTCACAGAATTCACAGAATTCACAGAATTCACAGAATTCACAGAATTCACAGAATTCACAGAATTCACAGAATTCACAGAATTCACAGAATTCACAGAATTCACAGAATTCACAGAATTCACAGAATTCACAGAATTCACAGAATTCACAGAATTCACAGAATTCACAGAATTCACAGAATTCACAGAATTCACAGAATTCACAGAATTCACAGAATTCACAGAATTCACAGAATTCACAGAATTCACAGAATTCACAGAATTCACAGAATTCACAGAATTCACAGAATTCACAGAATTCACAGAATTCACAGAATTCACAGAATTCACAGAATTCACAGAATTCACAGAATTCACAGAATTCACAGAATTCACAGAATTCACAGAATTCACAGAATTCACAGAATTCACAGAATTCACAGAATTCACAGAATTCACAGAATTCACAGAATTCACAGAATTCACAGAATTCACAGAATTCACAGAATTCACAGAATTCACAGAATTCACAGAATTCACAGAATTCACAGAATTCACAGAATTCACAGAATTCACAGAATTCACAGAATTCACAGAATTCACAGAATTCACAGAATTCACAGAATTCACAGAATTCACAGAATTCACAGAATTCACAGAATTCACAGAATTCACAGAATTCACAGAATTCACAGAATTCACAGAATTCACAGAATTCACAGAATTCACAGAATTCACAGAATTCACAGAATTCACAGAATTCACAGAATTCACAGAATTCACAGAATTCACAGAATTCACAGAATTCACAGAATTCACAGAATTCACAGAATTCACAGAATTCACAGAATTCACAGAATTCACAGAATTCACAGAATTCACAGAATTCACAGAATTCACAGAATTCACAGAATTCACAGAATTCACAGAATTCACAGAATTCACAGAATTCACAGAATTCACAGAATTCACAGAATTCACAGAATTCACAGAATTCACAGAATTCACAGAATTCACAGAATTCACAGAATTCACAGAATTCACAGAATTCACAGAATTCACAGAATTCACAGAATTCACAGAATTCACAGAATTCACAGAATTCACAGAATTCACAGAATTCACAGAATTCACAGAATTCACAGAATTCACAGAATTCACAGAATTCACAGAATTCACAGAATTCACAGAATTCACAGAATTCACAGAATTCACAGAATTCACAGAATTCACAGAATTCACAGAATTCACAGAATTCACAGAATTCACAGAATTCACAGAATTCACAGAATTCACAGAATTCACAGAATTCACAGAATTCACAACAGCACCTGTCTCATTCAACAACGGGCCCACATTTTCCCTAGTTTTCCTTTTGTCTCCTATATACTTAAAGAAACCCTTCCTGTTGGCCTTGACATCCCTCGCCAGGTTCAATTCCAAGGCTGCCTTGGCTTTCCTTGTTTCCTCCCTGCATACCCTGACAGCATTCTTGTATTCCTCCCAAGCAGTCAGCCTCTTCTTCCACCTATTGTAAACTCCCTTCTTCCACCTGAGCCTTTTCAGAAGGTCCCTGCATTTCCCAAAAACATTTAAACCCTTAGGCTCAAGAAGGCCTAAATGAACCAAATCGTCCCACTTTCTTCATCAGTACTTACTTAAATTATTATGTAAGAAATAGGCACCATTCAAGCTTCAAAAAAAAAAAAAAAATCACAGCCAAACCCTGTCCAGCTGTTTGGAAAAAAAAAAAAAAAAAAAGAAACAGGTCTCTGTCCTTAGGAGATGACCCCTTACTTTTGAAGCCAAGGGCATGCACGCAGGCTGGAGGCTGACAGGATTTGAGACAGAGTCAGTGATTGCATTTCCCACTGAAAACATGTATGGCCCATGATCAGCACCCTGGCTGTCTTGGATTCTGTGCCAAAGCACCCCTCTTCATGCACTGCTAGGGAGCCAAAACGCAGCACCGAAGATCCCACAACTGAGCATCTAAAATTCAAAGATCACAATATACATCTCAAGCCATCCAAATCCTTTCTGGGATCTAATTTCAATCTGCCATGACAGTTGATAGCTACAGGGATTAAACAGTGGAAAGATAATATATAAAATTATTTTTAACTTGTTTTATAAAGATGACTTGTGTGTAATCTCAAAATAAATCATTTGTAAATCATGTCCAAGATAAAGTCTAAATTATTTTAGCATTAACAATGCAATATAAATGTCAATATTCCCATAAAATTATTCAGGTAACAAAACTTACTTTCTTGGAATTGTACAACACGGAGAAAATGAAAACCTGCCCCAGAGTTTTGGGTATTTGAAAAATCCCACAGACAGATCAAACAAAACAAGTATCGCAGGCTTCTTTTCTGTTAGTAGCGACCAGAATAAAACCTGGTATTTTTAAAGGTAACATTAATTTAAACACTTTTAACTCCACATTTACAGGTCTGTTACATGCACCAATTCCTTAATAAATTGATACAGCACAAATGCAATGTGCATACAAATAGCTAGGTCCTTTGATTTCTATACATGTGTGACCCTAACAATTTGCCTAACCCTGGAAAACAACATACTGGTTAATTCTACATGGACTGGAATCGTGCCCAGTCACCACTGCCTAACCCACTCTCAGCAGCTCAGAAAATGGCAGACATCTTTTTGCCTAGTTCTGGACAAGGTAACTGGTGCTATTAATGGAGAGACTTTGACCTTGAGATGTAAAAAACAAACAATAAGAATAATAATGAAAAAAAACCCCAAACAACAGAAAGTCTTTCTAGGCATGTATTTCAATAGATAATGGAAATGTAAGAAAATAGAGCACAGTACAATCATGCTAGGTGACATTTAGGCTTCAATCAAAAAAATATTTTTTTAAAACTTATTTGAGGACTAAGATTTTGGCTACTGAATTACAAGATTTTTCCCCCTGTGAACAGCCTAGGCTACCAATATCAAAATATATCCATAGATACAATGAATAATAAGTATATTAGGCTACTTCAGTGAACAAATCAGTAAGATGTTTTGATCATTACACTACAAGACAGTTCAGATAATCTTCAAACTAGTAGGCTTCCGACATTTAGAATAATGTTCAAGTGAGTAGAACATGAAATGGTTATCGTAGTAAAACAGAGTATATCCAAAAATCTATGATCTTCAAATGAAACACCATACCTTGACAGATTAACATACATTCCTTTCTTTAAAGTAATATAGTTCGTAAACACATCTAACAATGTTTATGTATTAACTATATTAATAATAGCTTTAGATTCTATAAACAGTACTTATTGAAGATTCATTCTTTTAAAATGCAGCTGA